GAGACTTTGTTGTTACTGTGTCTGGCATATCAAATACTCTCGGTAGCTTGCCGGGCTCTCCGAGAGGGGCGGAGGAATCGAACTCGGGTCAGCCATGTTGGCTGCGTGCAAGACAAACGCCCTACCCGCTGTGCTATATTAGGCATTAATGCTGTCCCTTGGAGTTATCCCTTTAGCCCCCAGTATGATTGGTTTTTGTGTGTCACCAGGTTGTTAACGGTGACCTGCTGAAGGTACAGCATAATGATATGGCAAGTTTGGTGAGAGGATTGTCACAGAGATAACAGTGTAGAGACGTATTCAGAAACAAGCTCCATGTCTTATGTCCAGCTTTCTGTGGCTGGGTTGGGTTGGGGAGGAAGTTGGAGTGATGAGACAAGAATGCCCGGTTTTGTGCGCTCAGTTTATTTGTTGTATTAGTCATTTAAATACATTTAGAGTGAAACAATAACCTCAATAGCAAAGTAAGGGGGTTCCTTATTAATAATGTTGCTTACTCTTGAAAAGAAAAAAACCAAGAGTTTCCATTTGGCAGTATTGTTCATTTTATTATTCCCATAAAACCTTGTATTTAGTTTTCTTTTTTTTTGTCAAATATATTTTTTGCTAGTCATAGTAGCCATTGCTCAAGGCAGGGTCGGGACTTTATTCTGTATCTCAGTTTCAGGGATAGAAGACAAGGCCAATTGAGAAGACTGCTCTCATATCCTTTTCTCATTTTGTCTCTATCTTCTCTTTCAAAAAATTTTTTTCATTTAGCCCCTTAACTTGTGCCTCAAAATGGCTTTTAGATCTAGAATTTCTTGGTCCCTTTCTCAAAGATTGATTGCAGACTGCCAAGACTTACATTCATGAAAAATATTATTTGTCACACTATTTTTTTGGCTTTTGGGGTGACACTGGCAATGCTCAGGGGTTACTCCTGGCTCTGCACTCAAGAATTACTCCTGGAGGTGTTTGGGGGACCATATAGGATGTCAGGATCAAATCTTGGCTGTGTGCAAGGAAAATGCCTTACTCACTGTACAATCACTCCAGCCCCTTCACACTATTTTTCATCACTGGAATATTTAAGACAAGTATTCTACCAGTGGTATTGGTACCAGCCAATCAGGGCATTCAAACTCAATACATCAGGATCCTCCATGAGCTCTATTACGGACTCACTAGCAGGATCTCACCATTCTACAAAGAAGTAATCATTGACGTCAAGAGAGGGGTTCGGCAGGGTGATACCACTTCACCGAAACTCTTCAGTGCCACCCTCGAGAACATCATGCGATGACTGGAATGGGAAGGAATGGGAGTGAAGATAGACAGTCGGCAACTACACCAACTCCGCTTTGCTGATGACATCGTTCTAAAAACACCAAACATTAGCTAAGCAGCACAAATGCTGGCCCACTTCAACCGTGAGTGTGGAAAGGCCGGACTACAGCTGAATTTCATGAAGACAATGTTTATGAGAAACGGTCTCGTTCTGACACTCCATTTGCTCTCAATGGAATGAACATCTCTGAATGCACCAGTTATGTGTACCTAGGTTGAGAAGTCAACATGACGAATGACCTGGCACCTGAGTTGTGCAGGAGGAAGAGAGCGGTTTGGAGCACCTTCAAGAGCATCGAAGAAATAGCTAAGAGGACAAAGAACCTCCGGCTCTGGACACATTTCTTTGATTCCACTGTTTTTGTTGCATTAACATATGCCTCAGAGACCTGGGCCCTATGAAAACAGGATGAGAATGCTATTCGGGTCTCCCAAAGAGGAATCGAAAGAGCTATGCTTGGAGTATCACGCTTCACTAATATGAGAGGAAGAATCCGGAGTTCCAACCTCTGTCGATGGTCAAGAATCAGGGACGCTGTCTTGTTTGCCAAGGCACTGAAAATCAGATGGACTGGACATGTAATGAGAATTGGAGACGACTGTTGGACTAGAGCCATTACTGTCTAGATTCCATGGGATGTCAAAAGATTGCGTGGTCGCCCACCTATGAGATGGTCAGACTTCTTCATCAAGACCCTGAACGATCGGTTTGAGGCTCTTCGTTTTCCTAGAACGAGCATATGCCATTGGGCTACACTAGCATGTAACAGGGACAAATGGAGACATTACTGGCACCTGCTGTAGCAAATCGATGAGTAATGGGATGTCAAGTGATCAAGTGATCAAGTAAAATTAATTGACTTAGTCACTAAGTCAATAATTTTCAAAGGATGAAGTAATGGGGGTTTACTTTTACAATGAGTTAGTCATGCAATTTGAAGCAACATGCAGAGCTTACATCTGTCTCTCTCTCTCTCTCTTTCTCTCTCTGATGTTAAGGCTCAATAGTGCTGGGAGCACCTGAGTTATACAGAGAAAGCTCTGTAGTGCTGGGAATCAAACCCAGGGCTGCCTTGTGAATACATTACAGTCCATTGAGCTATCTTGGAGACTCATATAAATTGTTTTGAGGTAAGATTTTAGATCAGCTGCATCAGCACTCCCTGAAATACTATTAGAAATGCAAAATCTTAGGCCTATAGCCCAGACCTTCTGAATTAGTAACTCGGGGGGGGGGGGGGGAGAGGTGATTCAATAATTTATTAACACGGCTCCCAAGGTATACAGTGAACATCTAGTTTTCAGAACCACTATTCTGCATACGTATCTAATCCCTTTGTTCTGTATTTTTTTTTTTTTTTTTTGCTTTTTGGGTCACACCCAGCGATGCACAGGGGTTGCTCCTGGTTCATGCACTCAGGAATTACTCCTGGCCGTGCTTGGGGGACCATATGGGTTGCTGGGAATCGAACCCCGGTCGGCCGCGTGCAAGGCAAACGCCCTACCCACTGTGCTATCACTCCAGCCCCTGTTCTGTATTTCAACTGCTAATAGCAAGTGACCTTCAATTTTGTACAGGAAGTAAGACATTTTTGGTTATCCCACATTTACCCTGTTTCTTTGGGAATTCAACTATTTCGACTAGATTTTTAATTTTTCTGTACTGCCCTGGGATGGAGCGATAGCACAGCGGTAGGGCGTTTGCCTTACAAGCGGCCAACATGGCTGACCCGAGTTTGATTCCTCTGCCCTCTCGGAGAACCTGGCAAGCTACCAAGAGTATCTCGCCCACACGGCGGAGCCTGGCAAGCTCCCTGTGATGTATTCGATATGCCAAACACAGTAACAACAAGTCTCATGATGGAGACGTTACTGGGCCCACTTGAGCAAATTGATGAACAACGGGAGGACCGTGACCATGACCTGTACTGCCCTATTTATTCCTTCTGGAGATTAAAATATGTCTAGACAATGCCCTTGTTTCCCACCTGTTTCTTTTGAGGCCAAAGGGTATATTTGCAACCTGGAAACTCACAGATTTCTCATGTATAAAGGCTTTCCTAATTTAATTTTACAAACATGTGTTTCCTAACATGAGGGGAAGGTGACTGCTAAGAGGGACACTGCTTGTAGTCCGACCTCCCACAAAATGTTTGAAAAGCCCAGTGAGTTTGTGCTCTGCTTCTGGGTCATAAGTGACAGTAAAAGCATTCTGTTTGTGACAACCCCAATTTTGGAGGGGTCACCTCCCCTCACAGGTCCTAGTGGCCCATGTAATCACTTCTGAATGGACATAACCAGTGTTGCTGGGTAAAAATCTTGTGAAATAAATCTTTATGAAACAGATAAGATGCAAATTATGTCATTTTTGATATGCATTAATTATTATTTGTTTTTTTTTTCTTTTTGGCCACACCAGCAGTGTGTAGGGACTGCTCCCAGTACAGAGTTCAGGATTGCTCCCTGTGGTGATCCAAGGAACATGCAGTACAGCCCTTTGGTTAATTTCCAAGACTCAACAAAATCATGTCTTTACATGCATCCTAACGCATACACACTAATAAATGTTAAAGTGGACATTGATTATTTGGTTGCCCAAAGCATGATTCCAATAACAAGAGGATAACAGATAGTATTAAGGATCAAATATGCATCAGGCAATTTAACAAGAGCTTTGCATGTAATAGCTCATTTAATCATGACATTATTCTATAATTTAGGAGCTATTGTTCTTCATCTACTTTTGAGTTACAAATGAGGAGACCGAAACAGGCCAGTTAATTAATGTGAACTTGTTAAATAAATAAAATTATGAAAAAAAAAGTAAGGTGGAGTTCATGCCCAATTCAATCAGCTAATCAGTGGCTGAATAAATAGCAGTACTCCTACATAAAAAAATTAATGTGAACTTGTACTATTACTTAAGCAGTGTTAATAAGAAGCTGGATTGGACTGAGACTCCAACATTCTTCATGAACAACCTGTAACATCTCCCAGACATCTGGATGGAAATATTATGGGTGGAAATCCCTTTAAATGGTCTCAAGTCCAGTGATAGGTTTCCTACTGAATGGCTACCATTGCAAAGTTTTCTGGTTAGAATTTTCAAGTGTTAAATAAATTTATATCAAAATATTTTTGCTCTTACTTTGATAGTGAGTTAAGAAAAAGAACATAAATATCTTGCAACACTGGAACAGCTAGTCTATAACCAAGCACCTAAATCTAAGAAGTGTATGTCTGCTTTTGCATTAATGACTCCCTAAAATCATTAGCTACAATTAAAACCTACCACCAAGGTCAACGATATATATTCTTTTCGTTTAAAGGGGAGACATTTATTATGAAAAGTTTACTTATACTGTTTGTGCTGTTCTAGAAAGCAGATGACCAGCTCTTTCAGAAAATATAACAACTGCCTCCCTGTGAGAAGTGCCAAGTTTAGGAGATTTACGGTAAAGCCATGTTTCCTTGGAGGTCAGTACAAAAGCAGGCCTCTACTGACAGTTTCTGGGAAAGAACAGCTTACCATCTGTCAATTGCGTTATCTTTTCTCATGTTTATAATGGAAAGGCTCATTTTGGGAGTTTCCTAACAGCTTCTCCTGTTCTTTTTGTGTCTGCTGAAGTCCACAAGAGACAAAGATAAAATGAGCTGGTCATCTCAGGATCATGGAAGAACTGGAATCGCGATGCAGGAATCTCTCTTTTTTTTGTTGTGATCAGAAGGCTGATTCTTTCCCTGTGTGCCAGAAGTGTGAAATGTGTATCTTGGCTTGGAAGGTCTTCTCTACCAAGGAGTGGTTCCAACGAATCAGTGAGATTTCGCAAAGGAGGTTTCTAGTCAGCATCCTGGTGCAGTTAGATAGCATGTATTTGTTAAACTACTTTCAAAGTATCCTTCAGACCACTCAGGGGAAGGATACCATCTACAACAGGACCCGGATCAGCCTCAGAACGGAGGGGAAACTTGTGAAGTCTTCCTTGAGTCAGGTGTTGGATAAAGCAATAGAAGAGAAGATGAAGGAGATTTTATACTGGTTTAGGAAGAGCACCCAGCAGACGAAAGCAAATTATACCCTCCTGCTGCTGCAGATGTGTGAGCCCAAGTTACTACTCACTGCTGCCAATGTCATCAGAGACCTGTTTATGAAAGAGCAGAACTCAGGTAAACAACATCTCAGGTAGACACAAGAGAACCCCCAAAGACCAGGAAGCTAGACTTTTAGAGTATGTAAACGAATAAGAGGTGTGGTCAAGTTTAAGCAAATGGCATTTTCCAGAAGGCAGGATAGAGTTCTTTGTCTTGATACCTGATCCTGCTTACCAAAGGAGAAATTAAATGACTTCCTTTTACAATTGTCAAATGACAAATGCAGAAGGAAGTACAAAAAAAAAATTAAGTGTCAAGCATTTTAAATGGATTTCTACTCTCTTTAGGTGCTGAAATAGCTGGTCTGGACCTCTACTTCTTAGTGCAGGTGCGGTTCTTCATTGGTGGGTTAGGGATTGAACTGGATTTGTAGGTCTAAAATGAGGAAGCTACTGAATTGCTTTCGCCTTCAGCTTCCAGTGCAAAGAAACCAGAGAGGAGAAAAAAAAATTGGAGTCCTCCACCTGTATTGGTTAGATTAGAGATACGCCAGTCCAACTAAATTTTTTTGGGTGGGTAAGGAAACCAAACTACAGGGAATCTGAATACTTATCTAATGAACCAAGTCACTCAGGGTTTCCTGTTTAGGATTATGTATCCCTGAGCTCAGGACAGCCCTCCAGACAGAACAGACAGTGGGCTGGCTTGTGACCTTTTGTATATAAATCTTTTTGTATATAATAGCTTCTACAACCTTCTGAATTTTTTAGATTTTATCACCCACCACAGGAATCAGCTACTTGTATTAAAGCTGTATAAATGGAGTTATAAAAGCAGTATCAGAAGATTCTTTTTTGTCCTAGGGGCAATTCTCTCTAAACAGGTAAATTTTATAATTGAATTCAGATGGAGTTATTGCAAAAATTAGGCAGGAGTTTTAGCAAAGCAGTACATCCAATTCCTGCTCACAACATGCCAACTCTCTACTTGCATGTAATGTTGAGTCCTGTAACTGTCACTGTTGGTTGGCTGACAAAATCTAATTTCTGAAAAATTTTCAGAGAAACTGAGAGTTCCCAAATAAAAACTACAACTGAGCGGGTCCATTTGTATATATTTAAAAGAAGAAAGTAGCAGCAAAATAGTCTGTAAACTTTTTTTCCACACATTTGCTTCAAAAAGGAGCTCTGTCTGGTATTTTGTTTCTTAGAGATCAAGGAAGATTCCAACAATTTATTTTTCTTTTCTGAGAAAAACTCCCAGTCTGATATTGCATCTGGGATAGATGAAACCAACTATACATCCGTCCCCATGTCTAACACTTCAGAAACAGAAAAATTGCTTGAAAATGTTGGGGGAGAGTCATTTACAACTGGTAAGTCGTCTGGTAACTCACCAGATATTTATCCCTCATTTAATTTCATATGGGGTAAGGGAAACACTGGGATTAAAATTGCCAGCAGGGCCGTAAGGTTTAAGTTTTTATTGCTTTACTATGATACTTTCAAGAAACAACTGAAAATAGAGACCATAAAGGAAGGAATCTATTCAATTTCCTTTAAGATTTCTCTCTGTCCCAGGCCATAATACCTCTGCTAGGCCCTCAGCTCTGACTAGAGTTTGCCTCATAAAAAATAGCATCAAATTTAGATTTGAGGAGGAAACACTAACAGTGGGGAATTTAGGCTGACTTTAAGACCCTCCTATGTTGGTTTTTGAAGATACATAAATGAAATACTTATAGAAAACAAATCACAAATTCTGAAACTTTTAAGTAGAAAATGTTAAATTTCCATATAAAATTTAGTAAACTGGCCATTACATAACCATTCATTAGTCACTCCAATAATTATCAACATTTTACTAATTCATTGTACCTTCAAAAACAGAATTTTTTTTAATTGTTGAATTACAGCAGGCTGGAGCTATAGCACAGTGGATAGGGTATTTGTCTTGCATACGGCAGACCTGGGTTCGATTCCTCCACCCTTCTTGGAGGGCCTGGCAAGCTACCGAGAGTATTTCGCTCACAAGGCAAAACCTGGCAAGTTCCCATGGCATATTTGATAAGCCTAAAGCAGTAACAACAAGTCTCACAATGGAGACGTTACTGATGCCCGCTCGAGCAAATTGATGAACAACGGGAGGACAGTGCTACAGTGCTACAGTGAATTTAGAGGAAATTTCTTTTCATCTGGCTAAGATAGGTTTTTTTTTTCTTTTTGGGTCACACCCGGTGATGCTCAGGGGTTACTCCTGGCTCATGCACTCAGGAACTGTTCCTGGCGGTGCTCGGGGGGGACCATATGGGATGCTGGGAATTGAACCTGTGTCAACCATGTTGGCTGTGTGCAAGGCAAATGCCCTACCCGCTGTGCTATCGTTCCAGCCCCTAAGATAGGGTTTTGATGTTATAGGTACCTCCTTGAACTGGGAAAGATGAAAATGATTGTGCATTTTCTAGATTCATTTTTTTCCAGAAGAAACAACAAAAATTCAGTGACCTAAATAAGGATAGTTTCTGATAAACTCTTTTGGGGACTCAAACTGTGGAGTTATAGCAGAATTGACTCGACATTCTACCCTTTTCTGGTTTAATTCTAATAGGTCTACCAAAGGATTTACTGCAGTGTATTTCCAAGATGAATAGACTGTTTTCTGTAAAAGCAAGCAAGTCATTTTATGCTCACTCAGATCTTCTGATTACCTTAGAGGCTATTGGTGACTTAACCTCTGGGAGAAGCAAATACTGTGACTTCATTCACTACTTGCCTGTCCACCTCTCCAAGTATATTCTAGGTATGGTGGGATCTGTTGGAAGATTTCTTAAGAGAACTCCCATCTTGACTCAGTTAAGAGACTCTTAGATCCATCTTTATTCTTTTTCAGGTATGCTAAGTAAAAGCACCCTGAACAGATGTGCTTGTGTGAGCAAGCACTGGGCTGTACTGACACAGCAGGTCAGGATGGAGCTGTCAATGCATACGTTCCTTCAGAATAAGATTTCATACTTGCAGGTACTTCCTCTCTGAAAGGAGACTATCTGGAATCTTATTTCTGGGCTGAGGTTTGTCTGACTATGAGCCTTTCAGTCTGTTTGTAGATTCTTAGCTGACTTCCTGCTCCAAAGTTTTAGCGGAGACTTTGTTTTTGTCCTGACTCCCTGTTAATCACCATTTACTGCTGGAGCGATAGCACAGTGGGTAGGGCGTTCGCCTTACAAGCGGCCAACATGGCCGACCCGGGTTCGATTCCTCCACCCCTCTCGGAGAGCCCGGCAAGCTACCGAGAGTATTCGATATGCCAGACACAGTAACAACAAAGTCTCCAATGGAGACGTTACTGGGCCCGCTCGAGCAAATCGACGATCAACGGGAGGGCCTTTACCTTTACCTTTTACTCTCCCATAGTCAATGCATTTAGCAAGAACAATATGTATAAAAATCTCTCAGGAAGAGACACTGATGTTTTGGGCAATATTACAGAAGAGTATTTTATTTTATTTTTTATTTTTTGCTTTTTGGGTCACACCTGGATATGCACAAGGGTTACTCCTGGCTCTGCACTCAGGAGTTACTCCTGGCGGTGCTCAGGGGACCATATGGGATGCTGGGAATCGAACCTGGATCAGCCGTGTGCAAGGCAAATGCCCTACCTGTTGTGCTATCTCTCCAGCCCCCAGAAGAGTATTTTAATAAGAATGTTATGAATATATTTCCGGGAAAGTCTGATATGGAAAAATAATAATTACAAGGTCAGGGTATATTTTCAGACTCAAATACAATGCCTGTCTTTCACAGAAAATCTTTCTTGCCTAGTTACTTGTAATTTTTTCTAAAGTCCAAGCCTAAACCATGGATTTCTTGGATTTTTTTTAAGTAGAAGTGAATTACAGTGTCAGGGTCCTGGCCAGTCGACCCTGGCAAACTGGAGTATGATCCCCCACGCCGACAGACTTATTCCCTATAGGAGAGGGAGTGGGATGGGGAGAAGCCTCTGCCCTGGCCTCCTGTGCACCACAGGCCCCTGCTGACACCCAGAAAGAACTGCGCAGAGGGGAGAAAGCTGGAGGTCAAGGAGCTCTCCGTTTATTAGCTCTCACACAGGGGTATTTATACATACATCTCCGAGGGCAGTACATATAGCTTGGTACAGGCGCAGTACAGATAATGATTTACATTTAATGATTTACATTTCCCGTCTTCATGGCTGGGTGTGTTAACATGGGCAGATGGTAAGGGTGCGTCCTACATACCGTTATTCTCTCAACCAGAGTGCCTTTCTGGGTGGAGTGCTGGCACAAGGCCCTGGGCCCCTGTGAACAAAGCCAGCTCCTGTTTCCAAGAACAGGGGATTTGGTCAGGGTCTCAGGCTGGCTGCTGAGACCCCAATATGACAGAAGTCAAAAGAAGCAAGCATTTAAAAAGAAGAAGAAGAAGAAGAAGAAGAAGAAGAAGAAGAAGAAGAAGAAGAAGAAGAAGAAGAAGAAGAAGAAGAAGAAGAAGAAGAAGAAGAAGCAGCAGCAGCAGCAAGCATTATGAAGTAGGCAACAAGCTAGGAATCTGGGGACTGTTGACCATCTCTTTCCTGTCATTCTCCAAATGTGTGGTATTCACTCCTTGAACCAGTATGTACTTAGTACTAAGATATCAGGCAAAGCCTAAGGCTTCCTTTGACAGGATTTACTACAGTATATTTCAAATCTTGCCCCAAATTAGCTTTCCTCAAGTACTATGTAGCTGTTAGAAAAGATGAAGTTATGAAATTTGCATACAAGTGGTATTACATGGAAAGTATCATGTTAAGCGAAATAAGTCGGAAAGAGCGGGATAGACACAGAAAGATTGCATTCATCTGGGGAACATAAAGCAACAAAATGGAAGACTAACACCCAGGAGTGGCTGAGATTAGTACCAGGAATTTTGCTCCATGACTTGGAGGCCAGCCACACGTGCTAGGGGAAAAGGAAGCTCAGATAGAGAAGAGAGCACCAAATAAAGGGTGTTGGGAGGATCCTCCCAGGGTAGGAGAAGCATGCTGAGAGTAGACTATAGACCAAACATGATTGCCACTCAATGCCTCTCTTGCAAAACACAGGACCCAAAAGAAGAGAGAGAGAGAACAAGGGGGAATGCCCTGCCACAGAGGCAGGGTGGGATGAGGGGGATCGGGGGTGGGAGGGATGCTGGGACCCATGGTGGTGGAGGATGGGCACTGGTGGAGGGATGGGTACTTGATCATTGTATAACTGAAACCCAAGCACAAAAATTTATAAGTCTATAACTGTAAAAAAAATTAGCTTTCCTCATCTTTATGAGAATAGGAGTTAAAAAGTAGTCATTTCTGTCCCCCACCCTCCAAGGGCTCCTACACGAAGGGAGTAGATCCAACCTATGCCAACAAGCTTTTTATCCCAGTTCCTAAAATGGTAGAGGATGCGAAATACATACGTGTGAAAAATCAAAAATGGAAACTGAGGACAAAGGTAGGTGCTGATGGCGTCTGGAAAAGTTAACTGTGAATGTTATGTTCTTATTAGATATTGAAGACAAATTACAGACTTGGATCTCATGCAGGGATCTAGGAAGTGATGGGTATAAAGTATGTGATATAGAAGACGGGCAGCAACATTCCCTACAGGAGACCCAAGTTGTTTCGTGCTGAGCTCTTAAGCAAATCACTTCCTTTCTTTAAGTCTTATTTTCCTTATCTGTTAAATAAGCGGGTCAAATTGATGATTCAGAGGTCTTTCTATTTCAAATCTATGGCCATGTTTACCATTCATGGTATCAAGTGGAAAACTCAGAGCTAAAGTTCCAGGTCAGGAACAAAGTCACTCACAACAAGGATGTCCCTCAATACCTATTTGTCCGTGCCTTGAATGAGTGAAAATTCTCAACTCTGACTTCTTGGTTCATTCTGGCTCTATGAAGGAAAAGGACAGTCACAGGTTATGTCCCTCACACAAGGACATTAGATCTCCCCACAAAATCTTGAGGAATAATGAAAATCCATAAATGGAGGAATCTTTGAACTCTGTATTCTTCATGTCTATATTTGACTCTTCCTAAAAGGTAAAGGTAAAGGCCCTCCCGTTGTTCGTCGATTTGCTCGAGCGGGCCCAGTAACGTCTCCATTGGAGACTTTGTTGTTACTGTGCTTGGCATATCGAATACGTCACGAGGAGCTTGCCAGGCTCTGCCGTGCGGGCGAGATACTCTCGGTAGCTTGCCGGGCTCTCGGAGAGGGGCAGAGGAATCGAACTTGGGTCGGCCATGTTGGCTGCATGCAAGGCAAACGCCCTACCGCTGTGCTATCGCTCCAGCCCTTAAGATTATTATATTCCTGTACCCTTTTTTTTTGCTTAGGGTCATTTTATTTTGAAATATATTCAAGTTGATCCCCAAATATGTGGTTAGATACACCTAACCATATCGAATTATGGCTTCACATAAGCCATAATTTTCTATAAGGAAATTGTAGAATATAAATTAGAACTTGAGAGATAGGCATATCTGAATAGACAATTTAGTCTATATGTCTATAAAGATCAGATAGGTTACAGGCAGGTGAGTGGTGTGAATGCAATGATAGTGCACTTTGATAGTGCAATGATGAACTGGAGAATTCATTACCCATTTGAGGAGGACAGTTGATACCTAAGTCCAAATATCCCTATTTTTGCCCTCTCAGATCATCTGAACTTTGCAGAGAAGATTTAAATCTGAATTATTATGTACAATCATTTCTTAAAAAATCCTAGGAACCAATTAAAAAGGGTCTTAGTGTAAGCATGCATGCTTTGTATGTGTGAAGCCCCAGGAAAACACACACACACACACACACACACACACACACACACACAAGCACATGCATGCATACACACACACCACACAAAAGAAAAAAATATTATATGGACCAAGACTTTCTATTTCTGATTTGGTCCTGTCACTTGTTTTATGGATGAAAAAAATGTTTAAGAGGAGTGGCAGAGATACAAGTTCAGCGCTGCCTTGATTGTTCCAAGCGTATTGATTGCTTTGAATATAATAAAACTAATACCCACTAAAAAGGCCAGGGTTGTGGCTTAGCAATAGAATATATTCTTCACATGTGTGAGGTCCTTGGTTTGCACAGCAAACAAACAAAAGAACCAAACTCAAAACCAAAACACCACAAAATAGTAAAAGTCAAACAACAAATATGAATTCTTAAGATTCATTTTCTTGATGATATAGTTAATAATTGCCTAACCCAAAAGACAACCCAGTTCATTTGATATTTTGTAAATATCAAATTTTTACTTAAAGAAACAAGTAACTCAGTATGGACACTCGCAGAAGACATAAACCAGCAAACTGAGTAATTAAGTAGTCGATCGGGAAAGTTTAGAAGTGAGTACTTCTGAGGGATTGTGATATCAGTGGGCAATCCCTACTAGCTGAGTTAAAATAGTAAGCCAATCAGTGCCAAGAGCTCTGTGAGCTTCATTTATTTGGTCTTTACTCTAGGTTTGGTAGATATTATTGCTCTTAGTTTATGAACCTGAAAGTGAATATGATAATGTTAGAAGACTTGGCAATGGCAGAGCTGAAATTTGAACCAGATATTTTCCTTTCAATGGTTCTACTGTATGAGTTACGAATTCTCAAAATGTAGATGATGAACATAAGCCAAGGAATTCCAGCCTAGGATGTGAAAAATCAAGGAAACCTCATTTTGTTCAAGAAGGGTATCAGAGTTTCTTGGACACTGGAAGGAAGCAGGGGATGAACTTTCCTAGGGAGAGACTGGGTAAATATTACTTTTTTTTTTTTGCTTTTTGGGTCACACCTGGCAATGCACAGGGGTTACTCCTGGCTCTGTGCTCAGGAATTACCCCTGGCGGTGCTCTGGGGACCATATGGGATGCTGGGAATCGAACCCGGGTCGGCCACGTGCAAGGCAAACGCCCTACCCGCTGTGCTATTGCTCCAGCCCCCAATATTACTATTTTTTAAAGACTAAGAAAGAGAGTCAGATAAAATCTCCAGGCTTTCTTGGAGTTGACATGGGCTACCTCTCCCAACTTCCTGGCAATCACCCCCAAGAACCAACTCTTGTGCTCCCTTGTAAGCTCTTCTACTGACCTTGCTCTGAAGACTCATAAATAAATCTCGAAAGAGATAAAAAAGCTGCAGTAAATCTTGGACTAAATAATCCAGGGTTCACCAGAGGGGATGGATTATCTCAGTGCCTCGTCAGCCACTTGCTCCCACAATCCAAAATTGCCGCCATGCCCCTGGTATGAACGACAACGTTTTGGAATGGATCTCACTGAGATAATCTGCTGAAAATTCAGGTATGCAGGTTTTGTGACTGAAATCTCCAGGTTTTCTCGGAGTCAGGATGGGCTACCTACCCCACCTCACTGTACTTCTGGAAGCTCTGGCAGTCACATAACATCCCGAAGCTGCTGCCATCCAGTTAAGAAGGCTACGTCCCGATAATACTGAACTCCCTGATCAAACACGATGACTGCTTAGTACCTGTGTTGCAAATCATAATGCATACAAGGAGAGTGAGTGAGTGAGTGAGACAGAGAAACAGAGAGACAGAGAAGGAGAAAGAGAAAGAGAGAGAGAGAGAGAGGGAGAGAGAGACAGAGAGAGAAAGAGAAAGAAAAGAGAGAGAGAGGAAAAGTAGAAAAGTGCCTGCTATAGAGGCAAGCTGGGGGTGGGATGGGGTTGGGGGTGATGGGAGGGAAACTTGGGACATAGGTAGTGGGAAATGTACACTGGTGGAGGGATGGGTGTTGGAACAGTGCATGACTGAAACCCAATCATGAACAACTTTGCAATAGTCTAGTTTGGTAATTCAAATTTAAAAAAAAGAAAAAATAGAGAGTCATTGAGGTAACAGACCTCTTGATGAAGAGTTTAATATTTGGGAGGAGGTTAAGACTTAGAAGAATGGGGTAGGAGGTAGGACGTTTGCATTTCACAGGGTTGATATGGTTTGATCCCTAGCATCCCATATGATCCCTTGAGCACTGCCTTGAGTAATTCCTGAGTGCAGAGCCAGGAGTAATCCCTGAGATTGCCAAGGTAAAAAGGTAAAGGTAAAAGCCCTTCCATTGATCGTCGTTTTGCTCAAGCGGGCCCAGTAACATCTCCATTGGAGACTTTGTTGTTACTGTGTCTGGCATATCAAATACTCTCGGTAGCTTGCCGGGCTCTCCGAGAGGGGCGGAGGAATCGAACTCGGGTCAGCCATGTTGGCCGCTTGTAAGGCGAACGCCCTACCCGCTGTGCTATCGCTCCAAGTGAGACCCAAAAAGCCAAAAAGAAATTTAGAAGGAATGATAGGAGAGAGGTCTGCATGAGAATTCCCAGATAAAAATGTGATGCGATAGTCTTGCTTTCATGAGAAACATACTGCTTTAGGGTTTCTTGCTAGTCTGATTTTTATTTCCTACATTAAGGATGGAAGTGTGGCTGGCAAGAAGAGAATCAATAGTCACCTGTGGCAAAATTTATCAAGTTGGGATTTAGCATTAGAGCTGCTAAGAAAATTTATGAAATTAGAGTGGAAATGAAGGAAAGAAGGTAGGACAGAATGAAAGGAGGAGTCTTTGGACATAGAAGGGAAGCAGGCTTGTTGAGATGGGGACCATTGAATGCTTTTGTCATGATTCACATAATGTACTTTGTGAGGCAACTATAAGAGCAAATTAAGGTTGTAGGTCTATAAGAATTTTGGAGGGAAAATACATAGTCTAGCTGTAAATTTACACATGGATTGAGTTACTATATCTATACTTTGTACTGTAAGGTATATGCAATATGCCTTAATGTACCTATCAAAAGGATAGGATGGGTGAAAGAAGAGGTAAAGAAAGTATTTTTAGTGATACTGGCACTGGAAATTTGGAGGTGTTACGCAGTGAGTCTTATACATATATATTCCTAAAGTTTTATAGTGTTGTAAATCAGTGATAAATCAGTGAAATTTTATTTTCAACAAAGGATATCTGTGACTTCTGTGTGAGCATAACCTTTGTAAACTATTTTTTTTTAAAAAATGCTAATATCAGTGATATAAAAAAGTTTATAGAATTAGAACACATAGAACATAAAAAGAGGTAATAGGAGAGCTAGGACCCTTGACTCTGAATTTTATAATTTATAATTTAATTTCATGGGGTATCTTCTCATAGACCCCGACCAATTACCATTTAGAACCAGTTACAGTTTGAAGACAAAGAATCCATGGTCCTTTTCTTGTACCCTTGTCAGGGGTATCTGTATCTAGGGTTCTGAGTAATATTGCTATGGTAGTTTGACTTTAATTGTTCCTTGTTAGAATGACTACAACTTGTGGACTGCATACCAGAACCAGGAAACTGAGCAAATCCAGATGGAGGAGAGAAATGTCTTCTGTAGTACTTACAATGTCCGCATTTTATCTGATATGTAAGTCCTGACACCAGAATTAAAAGCCATAATCTGATGAAACTACTGATTTTCCACACTGGCATCTTTGGGATTCCATTGATCTTTATTCACTTAGAAATACAATCCTTCCTTACTTCAAACTCCAGCCCCCAAACTAACATGAGATCCCATTTGGAGAATAGGGGCTTCATTTTTATAACATTCTCAGAGAAAAGTGAAGTTTATAACATTTTATTTGTTATAAAATAATTTTATAAAACAATACTTATTTCCATGGTACCTACCAGTGTAGGACTTTGAACTAAATATATGCACGCTGGATATTATTTAAGGAAAATGCCCAGTGGATTATGTAGTAGGTGTGGGAATGCTGTGTTCCTCTGAGCATTCAATGAAAAAATGTTTCAATGATCAAATTTGGGAAATGCCACATTCTTTGTTTTCTTTCAAGGGTGTTATTGTACATTAGCAGAAAAATATATATTATATATTTTATATAAATTTGCCCTTGTCTTTGTGTTTTAAATATACCTGAGATGAATTTTATTATGGCACGAAGTAGCACTGCTGTGAGACTTGTTGTTACTGTTTTTGGCATATTGAATACAGCGTCGGGGAGCTTGCTGGGCTCTGCTGTGCCGGTGGGATACTCTCTGTAACTTGCCAGGCTCTCCAATAGGGATGGAGGAATCAGATCGGCCACATGCAAGGCAAACGCCCTATCCGCTGTGCTATCGCTCTAGCCCCTAGCATGAGGTATTGATCCTAATTGGCACTAGGCCTTGCTTTCTGCTAACTCCCTTGTCAGAGAGACTTGAATTTCCCATTACACCATCGCTGTATGTGTAATGCATGGCACTAAGTGAGTTCCAAGAAGGACACTACTTTTACAGATCATCCTTTTCCGTTGGTAATTCAGGTGGAACCCAAACAGAATCATTCATTATTCTGGGGGAGATTTCGTAGCTGTCACATCCAATCGGAAGGTCTACCTTTTGAATATCATAAAAATAAAGAAAATACACACTGAGTTCAAAGGCCACGCAGGGAGTATCCGCACTATCGTCTTGTGCGAGAGGGAAAACTTTCTCCTGAGCGGGAGTTATGACCTGAGTATCAGGTAAGAGCCACGGAAGTCAAGGTCCTTACCCCATTCATGGCTGAAAATCTGTTTGTTTAAGAAATAGATATGTTGATACCTTTTCAGTAACAGTGTCGCAGATGGTGCCTAAAAGGAATAAAGAAAAATGAGAGAAAGAAAGAAAGAGAGAGAGAGAGAGAGAGAGAGAGAGAGAGAGAGAGAGAGAGAGAGAAATGCTTGCTATAGAGGCAGACTGGGGTGGGGGAGGGGGAGGGGAACTGGAGACATTGGTGGTGGGAAACATACACTGTTAAAAGGATGAGTGTTGGAACATTGCATGTATGAATGGAACTCTTTCATGACCAACGTTGTAACTGTTATTCTCATGACGATTTAATTAAATTTTTTTTAAAAAAGAATAGTTTTATGAGAATTAGTACATATAATTTTGATTAAAATAGATTTAAAACTGAAAAAAGAAATATAAATACTTTTTCCTCTTTGTAATGATTGAAAAATCATCTTAGAAACACAGACTCCTAGAATAGCCTTCAATATTTTCACTTTGGGGCAATGCAAAACTCAAGAATCTGTATACTGCTTAAACTTTGAATGATTCAAAATAATTATCAAATTTATTTTCTAGTTATAGACTACAAATCAGAAAGTAACATTTTAAAAACTTTCTTATAGAAAGTAATAATTTATATGACTTTTTATAGTTGGCTTGAGTAAGTGGTTTCTATTGGAATGAAATATTTTATAGAAGAAAAATTGTATTTAACATGCATACATAAATATACTCAAAATCATAGATAACCATGAACTGAATATTCAGGCTAATAAATGGAACATTACAGTCACCCCGATTCCCCTACATAGCTTTTCCTTAATATATTTATTGAGGAGCAGTGCTCTTCTAAATTTTATACTCATTATTCCCTTGCATTGATTGTCGATTTGCTCCAGCGGGCCCAGTAACGTCTCCATTAGAGACTTTGTTGTTACTGTGTCTGGCATATCGAATACTCTGGGTAGCTTGCCGGGCTCTCCGAGAGGGGCCGAGGAATCGAACTCAGGTCGGCCATGCTGGCCACTTGTAAGGCGAACGCCCTACCGCTGTGCTATCACTCCAGCCCTAGCACAGTGGGTAGGGCGTCTGCCTTGCACGCAGCCAACATGGCCGACCCGAGTTCGATTCCTCCGCCCCTCTCGGAGAGCCCGGCAAGCTACCGAGAGTATTCGATGTGCCAGACACAGTAACAACAAAGTCTCCAATGGAGACGTTACTGGGCCCGCTCGAGCAAATCGATGATCAACGGGAGGGCCTTTACTTTACTTACTTATTCCCTTGCATTTCTTTGATCACTTGATCACTCGACTTCCCGTTAATCGTTGATTTGCTCGAGCGGGCACCAGTAACGTCTCCATCTGTCCCTGTCGCGTGCTAGTGTAGCCCAATGGTTTCTGTTCGCTCTAGGAACATGAAGAGCCTCAAACCAATCATTCATGATCTTGATGAAGAAGTCTGACCATCTCATAGGTGGGCGGTCACGCGGTCTTTTGACATCCCATGAAATCCAGTCGGTAACAGCTCTAGTCCAGCGGTCGTCTTTAAATCTCATTACGTGACCAGCCCATCTGATTTTTGACACCTTGGCAAACGAGACAGCGTCCCGGATTCTTGATTGTCGACAGAGGTTGGAACTCCGGATTCTTTCTCCCGTTTGAGTGAAACGTGATATTCCAGGCATAGCTCTTTCAATTCCTCTTTGGGAGACCCAAATAGCGTTCTCATCCTGTTTAGGTAGGGCCCAGGTCTCTGAGGCACATGTTAATGCAGGAAGAACAGTGGAATCAAAGAGATGTGCCCGGAGCTGGAGGTTCTTTGTCCTCTTAGCTATTTCTTCAACGCTCTTGAAGGTGTTCCAAGCCGCTCTCTTCCTCCTGCGCAGCTCGGGTGCCAGGTCATTTGTCATGTTGACTTCTCAACCTAGGTACACATAGCTGTTGCATTCGGAGATGGTTGTTCCGTTGAGAGTGAATGGGGCGTCAGGAACGAGGCTGTTTCTCATAAACATTGTTTTTGTAAGATTCAGCTGTAGTCCGACCTTTCCACATTAGGTCGAAGTCGGCCAGCATTTGTGCCGCTTGGGCGATGTTTGGTGTTATTAAAAAAAAGTCATCAGCAAAGCGGAGGTGGTGTAGTTGCCGACCATCTATCTTCACTCCCATTCCTTCCCATTCCAGTCGTAGCATGATGTTCCAGTAATTACAATGGGTCTCATGCATTTCTTTATAGATTAAAAATAATTTTTCAACCTATTTATATTTACAAGCCCATTTTTGAACTGAAATCTATTCTATTAAATTCACCTGTACTTTGTTCCTGCATGGAACTATGATTTTGAGAATCATTTATGTTATGTATCTGACTAATTATTTTCACTAAGCTATAGCAATTTTTTGAATGAATGTATTAATTCACTTATTCTCATATTAACCCATTTAGTTATTTTCCTACTGACATATAAATGTCAATAGAAAAATATATAAGCCTATATATACATAGGGTCTATTTTAAAGAATATTTTATTTTTCACCTTTTCTTATTGTCATCATTGTAACAACACTTATTAGTGTTTGGCACACTTATGATGTGCCAGGAATCATATTCAGCAATATGGGTATTTAGGATGCAACTTAAAAGTCTCATACATTTAAAATAGGTGCTTTAACATTAAGTCACATCTCTGCATACAGAGCCATATTCTTTACGATTTCGAAGAATCACCATGAATGTTAATGTGTCTCATAATACTCATATTTTTTCATTTGTGCCCTTTTATAATGTGTGTTATGGTATAGGTGTTTATCATTTCATCCATAATTAACACTGTTAGCACTGTCCTCCCTTTGTTCATCGAGTTGCTCGAGCGGGCCCAGTAACATCTCTTTTTGTGAGACTTGTTGTTACTGTGTTTGGCATATCGAATACGTCACAGGTAGCTTGCCAGGTTTTGCCGTGTGGGCAAGATACTCTCAGTAACTTGCCAGGCTCTCTGAGTGGGGCGGAGGAATCGAACCTGGCTAGGCCTGGCCGGCTGCACGCAAGGCAAATGCCCTACCACTGTGCTATCACTCCGGCCGATTCATCCATAATGTTATTTTAAATATCATCTATATCATTTTCCTGTTTGTTTTAATTTAATTTTAATTTAATTTAATTTTAATTTGGCTATACTTAAGGCTTACTCCTATCTGTGCTCAGTGATCACTTCTAGTGGGGTTTTGGGGGAACCATATACTGTGCTGGGGATTGAACTCAAGTCAACCATATCAAAGGCATGTGTCTTAACTGTTGTACTGTCTCTCTGGTTCTAGTCAGTTGATTTTTTTTTTGTATTGAAAATATCTAAGCTTTAATTAGGTGACATGCTACTTGATTTCAGAATTTAGGGACTGGGTTCCTGTTTTTTTAAAAATTTATTTATTTATTGAATCACTGTGGGAAAAGTTACCAAGCTTTCAGGTTTAGGTCTCGGTCATGCAAATATCAAACACATTTCCCTTTACCAATACTTATTTTTCACCACGAAGAACCCCAATTAGTCAGTTGATTTTAACTGTTGTTGAAGACTCTGTACTCCAAAGTCTTCATAAATATTTTATCTACTTGCTTTTCCAGTAAGAAACTTTAGGTTGCCTTCAAATAATTCTGTCTTTGATAATTTATCTTTGATTCTTCACATGGACAATGTTTTATTTCTTAAAGGCAAGCACCTAGGAATGGACTCCTAGGAGTGAACCATCTGTGGTGTTGGGGTTGAAGCTAGATCAGCTGTATGCATGACAAGCACCCATCAGAGTGTCATCTTCCTTCCACCAGGGTCCCCAGATTCCTTCCTACTCTTCCCCCATCCCCCCCCCCCCCCCCCCCCCGCCTACCACCTTAACAGGCACACTTGAAAGTTTGGTTGTTGAAGTTTGGATCTCTTGTTTTCAGTGTTGTTGACTCTGTGGTTTGGATAGTTATGCCACTGCTTTACAGTACCTATAAGCTTGGAGCCCTTTGATCCCTGGTCTCCGTTGCTTCCAATCTATCTCTTCTTCCCCCCTCAATTTCTTTCCTTCTCTGTCTCATCTCTCTACTCTGAGGCCAAGGGTGATCTAGGCATCTCCTCTTTAAAATATTGCATCCCACCATCCAGTTATTCTATATATCACATATAAGTGAGGTCACCCTGTGTTTAAATTATTTTTATTGCTATATTTTATAAGATGTTTACAAAATGTGTTTCTACAGAAATTAAAAAAAAACACAACCTGAGTTCCAGAGGTAGAGCTCCACAGGCACGCGTGAATTCCCAAGATTGATCCCCATTACTGTCCTGTGGGGGCCTCTAGCACTGCCAGACCTAAACACTGCAGTGTCAGGTCCAAGCACTGGACCCTTTTGTTGGCACTGTCAGAGTACCATTGGGTTTGGGCCCTTTAAAAAAACAGTAAAAGAAAAAACAAAAATATTATGGATGAAATGGACACAGAGTAAATCATGTTGCTAGCGGCAATTTCAGGAACCAGAGATGTAGCTCAATAAGTTGAATATATGCTTTACATGTTGGAGATTCAGGTTTGATCCCTAGCCATTGCATGGCTCCCTGAGCACTGTCATTAATGACCTCTAGGCACATATCAGAAGCAGTCTAAAGCACCACTGGGTGTAGCCCAAATAAATATAAATAAAAATAACACACCTTTCCCCAGACCATTTAGTCAGTGTTAACTGCATGGCCGGTATACAGTAGGTTCTTACAAACTAGCAAGCAGATGAATTTCTGTGAATATTAGAAAATCAAGGGGGAAAAAGAGTCATTTATTACATAACAAGTTTCACTGATGAAACTATGAGGTAAATACCACTATTAACTCTCATTTTTTAAAAAGAAGGTGAAGAGCAATTCCGTAATTTATCCATGACCACACAGATAGTAAGTGGTAGACATGGGATCACACCTTGGCAGTCTGGCTTCAAACCACTATTTTAACACTACGCTTTATTCTGTACCAAAGCTATCTGGGTGAAGGAAGTGCGAGTCTGTATCAATGATAGCTGATAGGGCTGGAGCGATAGCACAGCGGGTAGGGCATTTGCCTTGCACGCAGCCAACATGGCCGACACAGGTTTGATTCCCAGCATCCCATATGGTCCCCCTAGCATGGCCAGGAGCAATTCCTGAGTGCATGAGCCAGGAGTAACCCCTGAGCATCGCCGGGTGTGACCCAAAAAAAGCAAAAAAAAAAAAGATAGCTGATAGGTGTCAGGTAACTCTGCTTATTTAAAAATCAATGTATTTATATTAATTGATTAAAACATTACTGTACATGTTCCTATACATCTCTGATTCCCTTTAGAAATAATCACTAGACATTTGGGGTCCAAGTGGCTGAGGTGAATTGTTCTGTTCTTGTTTGAAGATCAGTGGTGTCAATCAGTGCCATGGATTATAAGCATGATGATGATTGCCAGCATCCTTCCATCTAATACTAATGATCTGTTGTTTTTTGTGTGTGCTTCCACTGTTCTAATATTACAGGCTTGAGTACAGTTTCTCAACCTCTATATTTGGAACGGAAAAATTCTTCATGTGAGGACCACCTGAGTAACGGATGTTACTACAAAGGGTACTACTAACCCAAGCTATTTACAGGCATTGGCACCTGAGCATGGAAATCACCCCTGGTTGACAATCACTTATATTTATCTACTTAATACCTCACAAGAATGTTCTAATCATTTTCATTTCTATCAGTGAGGAAATAAAGTGACATATAATGAGTACTAAGCTTCAGGTTCAAACCCAGGCCTTTGCCTGCACATACACATGAAACTTTGTCACCTTCAAACTACTTATTGATCTAAAAGAATGCTACATAATAGTCTCTGTGTTCTTTAAAAAATCTTTAAAAAATTATTTTGATCTGATTTCTGCAGATATTGGGATCTGAAAACTGGGGTTTGCATTCGAGTCTTCAGTGGCCACCAGGGCACAATCACTTGCATGGATATATGTAAAAACATGTTGGTATCTGGGGCAAGAGATTGCCAGATAAAAGGTGAGAAATAATGTCTTAAACTTGCTAAGAGGTTTCTATAAATTGGTGAGCTACCAAAAACAATTGTTTTGTTCACGTCTATAGGCATAACTTCATTTTATTTTAATGGTTTTATATTTGGGCCATACTGGTGATATTCAGATCTATTCTCTGGCTGAGTATTCGTAGATTACTCCTGGTGGTGCTTGGGGAACTATTCTTGTGGTACCAGGAATCAAACCTAGAACTCCCATATGCAAGTATACACTTCAGCCCTTATAGCTGTCTGCCAGTACTAGCTTATTCTTTTGTCCTTTCACCTATTTATACATCAGTTGATCCGTTTGAAAACTTTAAAAAATGTTGTATTAAATATCCATGATAGAACTTTACAAAGCTGTTTATGATTGGGTTTCAGTCATACAATGATCCAACACCCATCCATCCACCAGTGTACATTTCCCACCACTAATGTTCCCCATTTCCTTCCCACCATCCCCCAACACTCTCCCTCCCACCCCCCGTGTCCCCACCTGCTTCTGTTGTGGCAGGTACTTTTCTTTTTTCTCTCTCTCCTTGTGTGGATTATGGTACAAAGAGGTCATATTTTTTGTTCAGGGTGTTCAGTATTTTTATCAGGAAGGTAAGGCTGGAGTAGATTTTTCATTATTTTTTGCTTTTTGGGTCACACCTGGCGATGCACAGGGGTTACTCCTGGCTCTGCACTCAGGAATTACCCCTGGTGGTGCTCAGGGGACCATATGGGATGCTGGGAATGCTCAGGGGACCATATGGGATGCCCGGTGCAAAGCAAATGCCATGTGCAAAGCAAGTGCCCTACTTGCTGTGCTATTGCTCCAGCCCCTGGAGTAGATTTTTCAACTGGGTGGCAGCTTTGGAGTGTGGACATGACTGCTGAGGCTTTGGAAGTACAGGGAGGTGGGTGCAGGTAGCCCATTCGGACCCTGAGAAAGCCTGGAGATTTCAGTAACAAAATCACATACCCAAATTTTCAGCAGATTGTATCTGGTGAGGTCCCGTCTGAGACAGTTGGGGCATGGCAACCGTTATGGATTGTGGGAACAAGCATCTGCCAGGGGCTCTGTCTTGGTGGGTACCAGGTTAACCCCCCATCTCTGATTTACCACCATATGGTGGTGCTGGAGTTGGTTAATGGCAGTGACTGCCAGTGCTTCCAGGAGTATTGGGAAGTGGGGAGAGGTAGCCTATCCCAACCCTAAGAAAGCCTGGAGATTTTGGTCACAAAACCACATACCTGAGTTTTCAGCATATTATGTTTCAGTGAGGTTCGTCCCAAGACAGTGGAGTCAGGACGGTGTCATGGTGGTGATTTTAGATTGTGGAAGAAAGCGGCTGCTGGGGACTCTGCTTGGGTAGGTAGCAGACTAACCTAACCCCTTCTGATTTACTCTTGTCTGTTCAGCCTTGAGCAGGCCCAAGATTAACTATGGCTTTTGATATCTTTCTACATTTATTTAAGGGTCTCTGAAGCAAGGGTGGTAAGAAGAGCTTACATGGTGGATTGAGAGTTGGTTCGTGGGAGTGATTCTTAGTGCTTCAAGGGGTATAAGGAAGTGTGGGAACGTAGCCTATCCTGACTCTGAGACAGCCCGGAGATTTCATTCACAAAACCCGCATATCCAAATTTTCAACACGTTAATATCTTGGGAAGGTCTGTCCCCAGATAGTGGAGTCTGGTCAGGGGCATGGTAGTGATTTTTCGTTGTGGGAGCAAGTGGCTGCCAGGGGCCCTGCTTGGGCAGGCATCAGTCTGACCCAACCCCCTTTGATTTACCCTGGTCTGTAGAGCCTTGCACGGGTTCTTGTTGCTTTTAATCTCTTTAGAGATTTATTCATAGGTCTCTGAAGCAAGACCAATAAATGAACATGTATAGCTGAGCCGGAGGTGGTTTGTGGCTGTTTAATTCTTGGGGAAACTTGGTCCCAAGGTGTTGGGGTCAGGCCAGAGGCACAGCGGCAATGTTTGGGTATCAGAAAACCTGAAGGCACCATCAGGCAGCTGATGCACTTGCCTTGCAGGTACAGGTTGACCTGCTGGTGGCACTGCACACTCCATTTTATAATTTTTTGTTGAATCACTTGATCACTTGATCACTTGACATCCCATTACTCATTGCCTTTCTCGAGCGGGCTCCAGAAACATCTCCATTCATTCCTGTCACGTGCTAATGTAGCCCAATGGCGTTGGCTCGTTCTAGGAATAGGAACAGCGTCAAACCAATGGTTCAGGGTCTTGACGAAGAAGCCTGACCATCTCATAGGTGGGTGGCCATGTGATCTTTTGACATCCCGTGGAATCCAGTCGGCAATGGCTCTATTCCAGTGTTCATCTCAAAATCTCATTATATGTCCAGCCCATCTGATTTTTGACTCCTTGGCAAATGAGACAGTGTCCCTGAATTTTGACCGCCGATGAACGTCGAAACTCTGGATTCTTTCTCTCATTTGAGTGAAGCATGATACTACAAGCATAACTCTTTCTGTTCCTCTTTGAGAGACTCAAATAGCGTTCTCATCCTGTTTTCATAAGGCCCAGGTTTCTGAGGAGTATGTTAATGCAGGGAGAGCAGTGTAATAGAAGAGATGTGCCTGGAGCCGGAGGTTCTTCACCCTCTTAGCTATTTCTTCAATGTTCTTGAAGGCATTCCAAGCCACTCTCTTCCTCCGCGCAACTCAGGTGCCAGGTCATTCGTCATGTTGACCTCTCGACCTAGGTACACGTAACTGTTGCATTTGGAGATGTTCTTCCCGTTGAGAGTGAATGGAACATCAGGAATGAGATCATTTCTCATAAATATTGTCTTTGTGAGATTCAGTTGTAGACCGACCTTTCCACATTCATGGTCGAAGTCAGTCAGCATTTGTGCCACTTGGCTGATATTTGGTGTTATAAGAACGATGTCATCAGCGAAGCAGAGGTGGTGTAGTTGCTGACCTTCTATCTTCACTCCCTTCCCATTCCAGTCGTTGCAGGACATTCTCGAGGGTGGCACTGAAGAGTTTTGGTGAAATGGTATCACCCTGCCAAACCCCTCTCTTGATGTCAATGATCCCCTACCTGTAGAATGGTGAGATCCTGGTAGTGAATCCACAATATAGCTCACGAAGGATCCTGATGTATTGAGTTTGAATGACCTGTTTGGCTAGGAGATATATATATATATATATGTACATATATATATATAGTGTGTGTGTGTATCACAATAATTGATAAACTATGACATTTCCAGCTAATTGAAAGCAAAGTGTCACTAGTGAATATGTTTTATAATGCTAAATGGAGTCCTTCAAGGTGAAACAAAAAGACACTAAGCAGTAATTCAAGTTCCATAAAGAATGTTTATAATTTTTATAATTAATTTTTTCATTTAATTTAAACTACCATATAGAGCATAATTATGTCTATGATAATAGCACACAAGACATGAAAATTGGTAATAACTTTATAAAGCAGGGGAGTCAAGATTATGCATTGCTGGCTCTCCCAAGGTTTATGATCAGGGAACAGTTTCCTCATATACGGAGCTATACGTGAGCATACATGGGTGCTAGATTAGGTAGATCCAAGGTCTGACTTATTGGTCTTAGCTAGTATTATCTTCTGCCAAAAAATATAAAACTCTGCCCTAATCCTCCTTCATTCCCTCTTACTCTCTTCCGCACTTCTCTCCCTTTTCCTTTCAGAATGGGACCTAGAGACAGGGAAGTGCCTCAAGACCTTGAAACAAAAAGATCCCATTTTGGCAATTAGGATCAATGACACCTACATTGTGAGCGGTTGTGAGCGAGGAATAGTGAAAGTGTGGAACATCATCACAGCACAACTGATAAAGGTGAGAAAGATGTAAGGGGAAGAGTGATGGAGAGCAGAAGCCCAATGGTAACATATTGGAGGAGATGAACAGTATGCCCTATATAGCACCTTAAACCACCCCTGTGATACTGAGATGTAGTTACCAAAAGAACAGTCTTGAAAAGCCAAAGGTAAAGTCCTGCTTTGAAAAAACAAAAGAGGGGGTATTAGAGACAGAACAGGAGGTAGGACAATTGCCTGGCACGTGACCCACCAGGGTTGGATCCCTGATATCTCAAATGACATACCCAAGAACACCAGGGGTGATCCCTGAACGCAACACCAGGAGTAATTCCTGTACACCAACAGGTGTGGTCCCCAAACAAACAAAACAAAACAAACAAGAAAAGAAGGCCATGTCATGAGGGCAGTGGAAGAAGTCTGTATTCAGACACAATACAACATGTGTATTTCCAGTGTCTTTTCATAGCAATGGAGATACAGTACCTTTTTATCTTCCAAAATATTACAATACTCTGATTCTGATATGGGGTCAGGGGATGAAAATTTTCAAAGTAATTGGATATTCATACTCAAGCATACAGTTTTGCTGGATGTAAAACTTAGCAGGTGATGGTATGAGGTATATAATTTGTGCAAAGAAAACAGGGAAGTAAGAAGCTTTTGACTTGTCCAAAGTATTTTCTTCCACCAATATTATCACCACAATCAAACCAGATGTCAACACAGGGTGCTCCAGATGGTCCTCTAGGTCCTGGTAAGGAGTTGAATATGAGTTTACCATTCACTTTCAGAAAGCAAGAATGATGAATTCTGGTCTTCTTTGGTACTCCGGCAAGGAAGACCCCAGCAACAGGTTCTACCAGAAACAAGGATTTCTTTCTGATCACATTTCTCCTTAACTGGGGAGGGAGCAAAAGAAAATTCTACTCAGGTCAACACCAAGAGAATGATATTGAGTGTGGCATTAGAATTAGTCTGTCGTTAGAATTAGTCTAACAAATGCCTAGTTCTAGACCTATGAGGACTCACAATATTAGCGATGAATAGCTTGAAAACAGTTGCATCTTTTCTTGCAGTCTCTCTTTGGTCATGAAGGAGCTGTGAAATGTCTGCACTTTGACCAGTGGCATCTACTTTCAGGAAGTTCTGATGGTCTGGTCATGGCCTGGAGCATGGTAGGAAAATATGAGCGATGCCTAATGGCCTTCAAGCATCCAAAGTAGGTCCCAGGAAAGGCTGACTGATGAATGTGGTGCTCTTGTGTAATCATTGCCTAGATTTCAATTTTTGGCAGACCAGTTCTTTTGTTTCTCTGCCCTTCACCCATTTCTGCTTTTCTACCTTCCATTTATCACTATTTCCTTACTCGTTATTCACTTTCTTCCTCTCCTGTCGCCTTCTCAAGAAATAACAATCTTAGATCTAGATTTTTCCAAGTTTTTGAAATTTTATACTTTTGAGATACGTGACACATTTACATATGTTGCCTACCAAAACCATGCCAATATTAGTAAATTTAAATTTTTAATTAATTTTTACCTCACCAAGCTGGTTTACAAAAGTTAAGATTACCTAAGCACCGAAGTTTTAAAAACAACTATTGTAGGGTGTGGTATTGAAATTCTGTGCATAAGAAACCATTATTAACAGTATTGCATTATTATTAATTTTATTGCTTTCAAAATTTTTATTACTTTTAAGCTACCGAGATTATCTCACCTGCACAGCAAAGACTGGCAAGCTACCCATGATGTGTTTGATATGCCAAACACAGTAACAAGAAGTCTCACAATGAAGACATTACTGGGCCCACTCAAGCAAATCGATGAACAATGGGAGGACAGTGCTACAGTGTACTCATCACCAATTTATCTAATATCAGAATAGTCAGTAACAATTTTCTCCGCTTCATTTCTTATTTTAATAATTGAACTTTACTTTCCTGTTTTTATGATCAGACTAAATTAGAGGTTCTCAAATTTACTTAGCCTCTTACACTATTTTTTTTTCAACCACCTTCTACCCTATTTTCAGAAGAAAAAAAGAAGTCATTCAGTACTCAACATCCCAGAAAACTGCCTTCCTTAACACATTCAATGCACTTAACTCCTGGTAGCCCAAACTCTATCACACTGATCAGACTGGTACCAGCAGAGTTACAGAATTTCATACAGCACTTTTGTTTGATGCTATTTGAAAAAGTGGAACACTGGAAGCCACAAAATGGAGAGATACAAGGCAGCATCAACACATTAAGCAAGCAGAACTGCATTATTGCATTGTTCCCCTAGAATCATTCCATCCCTCAGAGGATGTAAATACTTCTTAATTGTCTAGAGGAAAGTTTGTTGATGCTTCAAAGTACCAACTTTTAGTTTATTGATCTTTCTCTATTTTCAGTTTCACATTTCAATGATTTTTATTTATTATTTTTTTATTGTTATTGAACCACTGTGAGATAGTTACAAAGCTTTCATGTTTGAGATTCAGTCAATGATTGAACACCCATCCCTTCACCAGTGCAAACTTTCCACCACCAATGTCCCCATTATCCTCCTTCCCCCCACCCCCCGGCCAATCCTCACCCTGCCTCTATGGTGAAAAATTGCTCAGCTACTCTCTCTCTCTCTCTCTCTCTCTCTCTCTCTCTCTCTCTCTCTCCCCTTTGGGGCATTATTCAAGCCTACCTTCCAAGGTCAGGCATTCACTGTCACTATCACGGTCCTCCCATTGTTCATCGATTTGCTGGAGCAGGCCCAGTAACGTCTCCATTGGAGACTTTGTTGTTACTGTGTTTGGCATATCGAATACATCACGGGGAGCTTGCCAGGTTCTGCCGTGCGGGCGAGATACTCTCGGTAGCTTGCAGGGCTCTCCCAGAGGGGCGGAGGAATCGAACTCGGGTCGGCCATGTGGGCTGCATGCAAGGCAAACGCCCTACCGCTGTGCTATCGCTCCAGCCCCAGGGTCAGACATTACATCATTTATTTTCTGTTGCTCATTTTGCATATCATGAAAGGCTTATGCAGCCGTGTGCTTCTGAAATTCTAAGATTATAAATGGTTGGGTTCCAGAGATATCTCTGTAGGGAGCTATTCTATTTTGGGATTCAACTGGGAGATGGCGCCCAGGGGCGGGTTGTGGGCGTGACTTCCAGCATCAGGGAAGCTGGACTGAGACTGCCTGGTTCCACTGCCGCCATTCAGTTTGGAGAGTTAGTCCTGAAAGCCACATACCGGAGCCTTGCTTGTGTAAGCTCATGGTCGACAGAACTCCAAATGGAGAAGGCGGGGAGACTGTACCTGCTCCATCTGGGGTGCCCCAGAGAGATTGGCTTGGTCTGGGGTCCGGAGAAATCTCCGGTGCTGTGGTGCCCTCTGGAACTCTTCGCTACTGTGTGCGCCAAGATGGAGCTCTGGGGCCACAACGATTTTTATTATAAGCGTTATTTCGCTTCCTTAAGTTTGGTTTGGATTTAATTAAAATTTCCTTTAACAATTTCTTAAAGTGAAAGCTGAAGTTATATAAAGTAACAAAATAGGAGACTAACACCCAAGAATAGCTGAGATAAGTACCAGGAGGTTTACTCCATGGTTTGGAGGCCAGCCACACATGCTAGGGGAAAAGGCAGCTCAGATAGAGAAGGGAGCACCAAATAAAGGGTATTGGGAGGATCCTTCCAGGATGGGAGAAGCATGCTGAAAGTAGACTATAGACTGAACATGATTGCCACTCAATGCCTCTTTTGCAAACCACAGCACCCAAAAGGAGAGAGAGAACAGAGGGGAATGCCCTGCCACAGAGGCAGGGTAGGATGGGAAGGATAGGGGCGGGTGGGATACTGGGACCCGTGGTGGTGGAAAATGGGCACTGGTGGAGGGATGGGTACTTAATCATTGTATAATTGAAACCCAAGCACAAAAATTTGTAAGTCTACAACTGTACCTCTTGGTTTGTCACTAATAAAAATTAAAAAACAAACAAACAAACAAACAAACAAAAGAAAGCTGAAGTTATTTATTGGAAAATGTGCTATAAATTTTCTGTGAAGCTCTACTTTAGCTGAATCCCATAAATTTTGATATTTAATTTTTTTTATTCATCTCAAAATGTTGTCTATGTTTTGGGATTCTTTTACTCATTGAGTAAGAGCATTTTGTTTAATTTTCATACATTAATGAATTTTCTGGGCTGGAGCGATAGCACAGAGCATAGGGCATTCACCTTGCAAGTGGCTGACTGGAGTTCGATTCCTCCTCCCCTCCTCCGCTACCAAGAATATCTCTCCCCCACGGCAAAAGTCTGGCAAGCTACCTGTGACGTATACGATATGCCAAAAACAAGTCTCACAATTTGCTGTGAGATACTACTGGTGCCCGCTCAAGCAAATCGATGAACAACGGGGAGGACAATGCTACAGTGCTAATGAATTTTCCAAATTTCCTTCTATTACTCATGTTTAAATTAATTTCATTGTGACTTGAAAACACAATTCATTGAATTATTAAATTTTATTCATACTTATGTTATAGACTCGAGCTTGCCGGGCTCTCCGAGAGGGGCGGAGGAATCAACTCGGGTCGGCCATGTTGGCCGTTTGTAAGGCAAACGCCCTACCCGCTGTGTTATCGCTCCAGCCAATGACGAGAGTATTCGATATGCCAGACACAGTAACAACAAAGTCTCCAATGGAGACGTTACTGGGCCCGCTCGAGCAAATCGACGATCAACGGGAGGGCCTTTACCTTTATGATTATGATAAACATCATAATTTTTATATTTTTCTAAGTCTTTTTGTGTGATATTAGTATAAGTACTTTTCTTTGATATGGAGCATTTTCTTTCCATTCTTTTACTTTCAAGCAATTTATGTTTTTGAAACTAAATTGTCTCTATTGTAAATACTATATAGTCAGATCATGATGTCTTGATATTTTCTCCGAAGTTTGGTCTTTTAATTGTAGAATTTAGCATATCCATGTATCTATATATCTACACATATATATTTATACATAGATGTGTGTATGTATATATTTGGAGGGGTTACATCTGGCAGTCCTCAGGGCTTACTCCTGGCTCTGTGCTCAGGGACTGCTCCTGGCAGTTCTTAGAGGACCATATGGAATATATGAAGTGCTGGGGATTAAACCTGGATTAGCCACACTCAAGGCAAATGCTTTATCCACTGTACTATTGCTCCGGCCCCACCCAATTTATATTTTATTGAAAAATAACTTCCAGTCCAGAATTTTGTTGTTTTTTATAGTATTAATGTAGTATTTTGTTGTTACTCTCAGTTCTTTTATTATGGGATTCTTTTGTGTTAAAGCAGTATTTTTTTTCTTTTTTTTTTTGCTTTTTGAGTCACACCCGGCGATGCTCAGGGGTTCCTCCTGGCTCTGCACTCAGGAATCACTCCTGGCGGTGCTCAGGGGACCATATGGGATGCTGGGAATCGAACCCAGGTCGGCCACGTGCAAGGCGAATGCCCTACTCGCTGTGCTATTGCTCCAGCCCCTAAAGCAGTATTTCTTAGTGTGTCATTTTAGTTTCCTTATACTCCCCTATATATGTTTAAATTATTTTTTAGAGGTTGATTATAATATCTTAACTTAAAAAATCAGTTAAATTTTCCTCTATAAAACTCCTTCTCCTCCCCCTTATACTGTTATTACTATAAACAAAATCTTCATATCTTTGTGTCTATTATTATAGATTTTAATTATTGCTATGTGGCAGTTTTAAAAGGGAAAAATAAATTATAAGCAAAAATCATTTCTATCCCTTCTATACTTCCTAGCTAGTTAAGCTTGAATTACTGTCTAGTATCCTCTTATTTTATCTCAGACTCCATTTAGAATTTTTGTTCTGGTTGGTTTTGTTTTTTGGGGTAAGTCTGGCAGTGCTCAGGATCATTCCTTGTGGTGCTCAAGGAACCATACAGGCTGCTGGGGATGAAACCTGGGTCTGCCATGTGCAAGAAAAGTGCCCTACCTGCTAAACCATTTCTTCAGCCCCTATTTAGCATTTCTTTTTTTTTTTTTTAATTTTTTTTTGTTTCTTTCTTTTTTTTTTTTACAGTTGTAGATTTACAATTTTTTGTGCTTGGGTTTCGATTATACAATGATCAAGTACCCATCCCTCCACCAGTGCCCATTTTCCACCACCACGGATCCCAGTATCCCTCCCACCCCCCATCCCCCCATCCCCCCCTGCCTC